GAATGACAGAGAGGAGGAAATAAAAAGTAAAAAAAGGAGTATATAGTGACACATACTTCATCATTACTAAGCTAGTCTGTCCGAAAAAGATATAAAAATTGAAAGAAAATCCCTTTGCAAGAACTATTGCCATTGATTATTCTGGATACTAGATGAAAGCAAAGCCTCCCAAGGTAGAAGAAAGAGATTTCTAGATCACTAGGGCCCTGACAGTCACTCTGTAATTATGGCAGGTAACTTGTAATGACTGTTCACAGACTTGTCATGGAGATCTTGGGAATGTCACTCTTCAATTAATTAAATGCCCTGCATAGTTCACAGCTCTGGTGAGAAGCACTGATGCTTCAGATGCTAATATTCTAGCGATGTGAGGAAGCTCCATGTTCCCAAAGTACTAGACAGAGGCATATATAATCAAGGCAGCTAATATTTGAAAGTGTGTCTGTCATATGAGCAAATAATGCAATAGGACTAAGTACACATGTCTTCAAACAGTGCATAAATGACAGTGTTGACAGCCATTTTAACTATACTAAAATCTTTTCATCAGATTCACTCCTACCTGCACTGAAAATAGGATGACAAATTCAGAGGTGGCTAAAAAAGGAAAGATGGATATATAATACCATTCATCTTTTGAGTCCTTTTTCTTCCACAACTCTGATTCAATACATAGATGTCTTTTATTTAGTTTCTTACTTAGAACAACTCCAAGCTTACTTGTTGCTGCTACAGCTTAAATTCCAACAGCTGAAACATCTAGAATGAGGGCATGCTCTGGAGTAAGAAGACAAAGTATGACATTTCACCCTGGTCTATTATCATCTCAGTGGCCTTGAGCAAATAGCTTAACCTCTCTGAACCTCAATTTTCTCTTCTGAAAAATTTTAAGTCCTATCTCACAGCCTTTTGAGAAACTTAATTTAAAAGATGTAAGTGAAACATCTCCACCTAAATCACTGTTTCTCAAACTCCAACATACATAGGAACCACCCGGAGATCTTGTTAATGTGCAAGTTCACCGATTGAGAAGGTCTTCAGTGGGTCCTGCAAGTCTGAAGCTCCCAGGTGATATTAGAATCTGAACCAGACCCTTCCCTCTCTACCTGGAGAATTTTATTTCCTCCTGCTGCCCCAGACAAATCTGTCTTCCCTTACCGGGGAGGGAGGTGGGTGCTGCTGCTGAGAAGGGGACAGGTTGGATGACTGCTGATGTCATTTGGGAGCTGGTTAGAAATGTACAATCTCATGCCCCACCCAAAACATTTTAACAGAATCTCCAGGTAATTTGAATGAACACTAATGTTTGAGCAACACTGACCCAGAATCAGACCTGGCACATTGAAGATTTGGGGTCTAAATGTACTGTTAGGCTTTGGATTATCACAGAAGTGTGCAGGATATAGATGGATTTAACACATTTTTTCATATTCAAAATTTAATTTTTGAATTACATTCAGAGTCATATTTTGCCAACACGTTGCTTTAAGCTAAAGAGTGGCCTCACCCCAGCCAGATCAGGCCTCTACTCTCTGACAGCTAGCCAGTTAGTAGCTGTTTCCGGTAGGAATCTGCATTGTCAAAGCCCTTGTCATCGTTTTCCCCACCAAATCTCAATTTAAGTATTTTGTATAGAAAGTACACTTACTAACTGGAATTTAAATTGTTTTGCTGTGTCTATTTACTGGAGACTATTCCTAAGAGCAACATCATATAAACCCAGTTAACACATCAAATTAGTATATTTCAAGTCAAAGCAAAGATGATTGATGTCTGCATTAGCCTATACTGTTTATTGTGGGTACATGAATAAATGAATACATAAGGAGTTTCTTGGGTTATTGAGGGGGAAGGGACTCCAAGTTAGGAAACTACTTGAGAAGCCTACTTAATGGTGACAGCCAGTTTTAAGGGATAGGAGCTCAGCTTGGAAGGCAGTGAGGAATATGTGAAAATATACTTGAGATTTCAGCTAGTATTCCATAAAACCTGAGAAGTCCATTGATTTTTTTTTAATAAATTACTGCTTTTAATAATGGATTCACTTTTTTATCCTTTATTGTCTTGAGTTAGTTTTGCTGTCTGAGATTTATACTCATTTCTAATTCATCCTTACAGTGCATAGTGAAGATACAAGAATCAAATAGACACCATATTTTCATCTGTGTAAGAGAATTATTTTCTTCCTCATAGGACTTTTCATCATTTAAAATGTCCTGCCTAATGCTTTGTTGTTTCTTGCAGAGCAGGTTTGGTAGTAACAGTTTCTCTGTTTTGTTTATCTAGCAATGTCTTTATTTCCCCTCCATTTCAAAGCATAGGTTTGTTGGATATAGAATTCTTGCTTGGCAGTCTTTTAGTACTTTGAATATCTTATTGCATTACCTTCTGGCAATGAGAAATCAGCTGTTAATCTTACTAAGGATCCCTTGTACATGAGTTGCTTCTCTCTGTTCCTTTCAAGAGTCCTTCTATGTTTTTGGTTTAAGACAGCTTGACTGCAATGGGTCTAGGTTTGGATCCTTTGACATCTATCTAGCATGGAATTTGGTGATCCTTTTGGATATACAGATCATGTTTTTCATCAAACTGGGACATTTTCAGCAACTATTTCTTTAAATATTCTTTCTCTTTTGGGACTCTCCTTCTGGAACTACCGTTAGGCATACGCTGGCATACTTTATGGTGTCCCACAGGTCTGTGAGGCTGTTTATTTTTCTTCCTTCTTTTTCCTTTATGTTTTTTGGACTGGATAATGTCAGTTGACCTATTTTCAGGTATAACATTCTTTCTTCCGCCTGCTCGTATCTGCTGTTGTTTCCCTCTACCGATTTTTTTTTTTTTTCATTTCAGTTTTTATACTTTTCAACTCCAGCATATCTATTTGGTTCTTTTTTTTTTTTTAAGATTTTATTTATTTATTTGACAGACCGAGATCACAATTAGGCAGAGAGGCAGGCAGAGAGAGAGGGGGAAGCAGGCTTCCTGCTGAGCAGAGTGCCCAATGTGGGGCTCCATCCCAGGACCCTGGGATCATGACCTGAGCCGAAGGCAGAGGCTTTAACCCACTGAGCCTCCCAGGTGCCCCTATTTCGTTCATTTTTTTATACTTTCTGTCTCTTCATTGATAATAAATAAATTGGTGAGACATTATTCTCATTTTCATCTCGTCTCTTTAGACATCTTTCATCTGGTCTCTTTAGACATGGTTTCCTTTAGTTATTAGAACACATTTAAAACAGCTGATTTAAAGTCTTTGTCTAGTGAGTACACTGTCTGGGCTTCCTCAGAGTTTGTTTTTTTTTTTTTTTTTTTTTTTCCTGAGTATCGGCTATAATGCCTTTACTCTTTACATGTCTCAAAATTTTCATTGAAAAGACATTTTTAATAATATAATAATGTGAGAACTTTGGATATCAGGTCCTCCTCTTACTTAGGTTTGTTGTTGTTTGCCTAGCGATTTTTCTGGACTAATTCTATAAAGTCTATATTCTTTGCCATATGTGGCCACTGATGTCTATGCTTGGTTTGCTTGGTTGTCAACTAATTATTGGCAAAGATTTCCTTAAATTGCCTAGGCCAATAAGTCCCCCCCCTTTTTTTTTAACCATAGGGCAAAAATGTATGCAAACCTTGACAGTCGGGTAGTTCACAATTCTGCAGTAGCCTTCAGTTTCTGCTCATGCAGAGCCTCAAGATTAGCCAGAGGGCAGAGACTAGGGACTTTCAATTCTTTCCTGAGCATACAAACAGCTGTAGACATGCACATAACCCTAAAGATGCATGTAGTCTTCTAGACTCCCAGGAATAGATCCAAGCTTTTCAACCCCCCCTCCCCCATGGAAATCACATTCCTCAGATTCCTTTTAAGCTTGTGGTTAGCCTGTTGTCTGTCCCAACTGTTTTCCACTGCTTCTGGCAGCCATGATGTTAAACGAAAGAGCCCTCATTATTTTTGACAAATGCCCCTGAGAAAAATGCTCTTCTCCTGCTGGTCACATTCCTGGTCAGATCAATTAAAGACATGCATTGTGAGGGGGGTTCTTCAAGGGAACCACAAACAGGTCAAGCAGTGACAGTACTCTGGGAATGGCGTTTGGAATTCCAACTCTGTTTTGTCCATTGCAGTGGCTGCCAAGCTGCTGGTTCCCACTGTGACTGTGGGATACTAGCTTTCAAAGCTACTGCAAAGCTGGGGAGAAGAGGATGGGGACAAAGTTAAAACCCCACAGAGCCTGCTGTTTCTTACTGAGCCACCATTTTTCTTGAGTAAAAATTCTCCATACTGTGACAAGCCTTTAATTAATTTCCAGATCCCTACAAATGTTGATTCAGGATACTTCTGTCAGTTGCTTTTACACAAAAGAGGATTTTTGGAGATCCTTATTACACCATTCTGGCTGATGTCACTTAAAATGCCTTGAAACTTTTGAATAGTGAACAAAAGTCGCATGGAACTTATCTTGCTACATTAGAAAGACAGACCCCATATCCACCAGAGATCGTATAGGGTTCCACTAAGAAATGCCACTAAAATATCTTGGTGGTTTGAGGCAACTGTCAGATGAGAGATCACATTGACCTCCTCCTAAGGAAGATTTCTCATAAATAAATCTCAAACTTGCAGGAAGTGCTGTCTAATGATTTAAAGCCTATTCTCTGGAACTAGCTAGCTCTGACTTGAAGTCCTGATTCTGCTGCTTAATAGCTTTGTGACCTTCATCAAGTTACTTAACATTTACAATACAATGATAATAACCACCTGTTCGGAGATTTGTCTTAAAACCCAATTAACAAAAATAAAGTGCTTGGTGTGGTTTGTGGCAAACGTAAAGGCTCAAGAACTTTTAGTTTCTATTGCTATTATCATTAAGAATATAGTTCAGCACTACTGATAATAATGCTGAATGTTCATCTGATTGTGATTCTTTAAGAGTCACTTTCGAAGTGGGAAATAAAACTATTTCATTTGTATTACTATGTTTCCTATGTGATTCTAGGCACTGTGGTGGTCCAGCAGTTGATGTCCGTGATGATTGGCAAACATGACCGCCTCTTCCCCAAAGAGGCAGAACCGCAAAGCAAACCCCCAGATGGAGTGAGTAACAATAACAATGAAATTCAGAAGAAAGCCACCATGGGTCAGCTAAAGAACAAGGAGAACAATAATACCAAGGACAGTCCTGGTAGGCGGTGCTCTTGGGACAAGTCTGAGTCTCCTCAGAGAAGCGGCATGGATAACGGATCCCCTACAGCTGTACTGGGTAGTAAAACCAACAGCCCGAGGAACAGCGTTCACAAGCTGGATGTGTCTAGGAGCCCCCCTCTCTTGGTCAAAAAGAATCCTGCCTTCAATAAGGGCAGTGGGATAGTCACCAATGGATCCTTCAGCAGCAGTAATGTGGAAGGTCTGGAGAAAACCCAAACCACTCCCAATGGGAGCTTACAGGCCAGAAGGACCTCTTCCCTGAAGGGGTCTGGTACCAAAATGGGCACCCACAGTGTCCAGAACGGTACAGTGCGAATGGGCATTTTGAACCCCGACACACTTGGGAGCCCCATGAACGGTCGCAGTATGAGCTGGCTGCCCAATGGCTATGTGACCCTGAGGGATAACAAGCAGAAAGAGCAAGCGGGAGAGTCGGGCCAGCACAACAGGCTCTCCACCTATGACAACGTCCATCAGCAGTTCTCCATGATGAACCTGGATGACAAGCAGAGCGTCGACAGTGCCACCTGGTCCACGTCCTCCTGCGAAATCTCCCTCCCCGAGAATTCCAACTCCTGTCGCTCCTCCACCACCACCTGCCCAGAGCAAGACTTTTACGGGGCTAATTTTGAGGACCCTGTTTTGGATGGGCCCCCGCAGGACGACCTCTCCCACCCTGGGGACTATGAAAACAAGAGTGACCGGAGGAGTGTGGGAGGTCGAAGTAGTCGTGCCACCAGCAGCAGTGACAACAGTGAGACATTCGTGGGCAACACCACCAGCACCCACAGTGCACTGCACAGTTTAGTGTCCAGCCTGAAGCAGGAGATGACCAAACAGAAGATAGAGTATGAGTCCAAGATAAAGAGGTGAGGAAAATCCGGAGCGCCTAGCTGCCAGAAAGGCTGCAACCACCTCCTCCCGCAGGGACGGGTTGACACTGGGGGTTAAACACGCTGGTTCCGGAGCCAGAGACCCGAGTTCAAGTCCAGGCTTTCCCACTTGTAAGCTGTGGGACTTGCGGAGACTTCTCTGTAAGCTTTTGGGTTCTTTCTGTGAAAAACTGGAACTATGAGTAATTTTTTACCTTAAAAGCATATGAGAAATCACCGGGCATTGTCCCTGGCACAGAATAGTGGCTCCATCATTCTATTTTCTGTTATTAAATGTGTAGGTTTGTGTTAAGGGCTGAAAGAGGGCCTGGGATAAATGGAAAGTAAGGAGCCTGTTTTCACTGATGGGCAGAGGGTGAGATGAGGGTAAAGAAAAGATGTCAAAAGAAACATCTCTATTTTTTGTTATTTTAATTGTTGGATGTTGAGAGAGGGTCCGCTGCCTGCTGGGCTCAGTGCCAGGCCTTGAGGGGTAAGCGGTGAATAAAATAGAGAAAAATTCAGCCCTCAAGGAACCCGCTTCCATTCCACCGCAGAGACAGATCAAGAAGTAAAGTAGATCAGATGCTAAGTGGAAGACTAACATGGCAGAGGGGTAAGAAGCTTTGGTGAGGTGTAAGGTCACGTGCAGGGCCTTCCAGGTAGTCAAAAGGAAGCCATGCGGATCCCTGAGAGAAGAGCAAGTGGAAATGCCACATTCTACTGGGAAGTTCCATTATTTTCTCAAAGTCTCTGAAGTGCACCATAGATCACAGAACACAAACAGGCCATCAGTGTTCTCACAAATGAATGTGTACATCAGCATCCATTCAGAATAGCTTTTTTTCTCTATTAATACAAGTTTAAAGTGCTGTCTCTTGCTTCCCAGTGCTAAGTGCTAAGTTATCATCACATACTGGCAGAAATTCAGAGTTCTGGTAGCCAGTGATTCCAAAAACGACACTCAGAAATGAGAGTCACCTTATTAGCTGACAGCATTTTTCTTCTTCGGTAAACCTCCTGTCACTTGGCATTATATAGAAAAATTCAAACCAAGTTTCTGTTCAGCAAGGTTTATAAAAACTACTTTCTTTTTTTTTAAACTTTTTTTTTTTTTAAGATTTTATTTATTTATTTGACAGACAGAGATCACAAGTAGGCAGAGAGGCAAGCAGAGAGAGAGAGAAGAGGAAGCAGGCTCCCCGCTAAGCAGAGAGCCTGACGTGGGGCTCGATCCCAGGCCCCTGGGATCACGACCTGAGCCGAAGGCAGAGGCTTTAACCCACTGAGCCACCCAGGCGCCCCCAAAAACTACTTTCTAAGAAAGTCATTTTTCAACTTAATGTGTAAGTGGTACTTCAGTTTATATTTACTTTACCAAAGTTCTTGAAAATCTGTAACTTTTGGCCTGATAACTGACTAATGGATGGGAGACATATTAAAATGCACGGAAGCCAACTTTATGTATAAAGCAGCAGTGTGTGGCATCTGGCGACATGGAGCTTCTGAAGCAGGACACAGACTGAGGCCCACTCCTAGGAGGACCCCGGAACACCCACGAAGGAGGAAGGCCACCAAGTCGCATAGCCTGAAACAGGGGTGGAGACCACAGAGGGGTGGAGACCACAGAGGGGTGGCTTCATGCTGAACTAAGCCTTGAGCCTTCAGGTTGAGTGAAATGCCCTCTTCACCTACACTAATCTGAGGGAAGAACATGAAGACCATCGGTTTTAGAATATCCACAACCGTGGTGAAAATGTCGGGGAGGACATTCTGGTTTCCGGCCCAAGGTGCCGTTTGTGAGCCCTGGGCTCCATTCTCCATTCCCACCTCTCAAGTCCACAGAACACGTGACAGTCAGGGGCGCTGTGAACAAAGGACGCTCGGCAAACACCCCTTATCCTGCTGCGGCTGCTTTCCTGGAAATTTGCTAGGCATACTCCTACCTTGGTCATCTTGTGAGAAGATGCAAACTGATATAAATTAGGAGTTAGCATAATCGCTTCATTAGAAATCATAGCTTTTGTTCCTCATTTAGCCTAGAATTTCCCTTGTGCATATGAACACACTTTACGTCAATGCTCTTCTCAAAAACATCCAATGGATCCTAATCTCAGAACAAAAACCAGACTGAAAATGATCCCCAAGGTCCTACGCCACTGGGCCCTGTTCCCCCTCTGAGCCCCCCAGGGGGCTTAAACTTGTATTAATAGAGAAAAAAAGCTATTCTGAATGGATGCTGATGTACACATTCATTTGTGAGAACACTGATGGCCTGTTTGTGTTCTGTGATCTATGGTGCACTTCAGAGACTTTGAGAAAATAATGGAACTTCCCAGTAGAATGTCATCTCAGTGAGCCCTCTTCCTGTAGCATTCTAACCCTCCTGACAGCCGGAGGGTGAGGCCCATATCAGAGTGGGGCAGACGAGCTGCCATGGGCCCAAGGCACAGGAATGGAAGAGTTAACCGTTCTAGTTAATTTGTGATCGTTTCTATTTGCAGTCATACATTTCTCTTTCAATTTCTTTTAAACTCCACCCCATAAATACTGAAGTTAGAGAAATTCATAGATATATGATATAGATGATAATAGATAGATAGATAGATAATACTTTACTTTGTTTAGTTATCACTGATATGTGTTGTTTAGCTTTTAAACGTATGAGTTCGATGTTCTTTTACCCCCAAAATTAGTTCCTAACCTTACTGTATTGTGGTAGGAGAAATTTGTTTATATTATCAATTATTTGGCCTGGTAAAAACTATTCTGTTTTTACTGGTTTGGGATTCCATGACTAATAGATCAAGTCTGTTGGTCAAGTTGTTCCAACCTTTTACATTTCTTCTAATTTCTATCAGATCTATAATTTCCAAGAAAGGAAAAATCTCATATTACTATAGATTTATCAATTTCTCCTTATAATTTTATTATATTTTATATTGAATAATGTGAGGCTAGACTACTTGGTAAATAAAAGTTCAGTATTGTTCATTCTCCCTGATGAATTGGTCCTTTTATCATTAAGTCATGGTCATCTTTAATAATGCTTTTTGCTGAAAATCTATTTCTTCTGATACTAATATTGCTATGCCACTTTTATTTTGATTAGTAACTTCCTGGCAGAAAAGAGCTATCCAGCCATGACATTCTCACTACCGTTATTTTTCCTTTGCCCAAAAGCAAATATGATGTCCTCTTTTCTCTTCCAACCTTATCAGATTTTCTCTTTTCTTTTAGTAAAGCCAGCTTCACCTGAAATGACTGCAGGAAGCCCTGTGGTTTGGGTTTCCTCCTGCATCTGCCATTCTGTGCTCCCTCATAATCAGTCTCCGGCTTCTCTGTGCTCACGTTCATTTATTCACAATCAAAGGACAGCTAAGAGCTTCCAAGCGAGGTCTTGGGGTCTTCTTGTTAAATGATAGTAAGTCATCCAAGCAGGTAGAATCAACGAATGAACGAATAAATAAAAATACATCTTTTAAATCATTAGACCTTACTTTACTGATTTGAAAGGGTCCATTACAATATCCTAAGCCTTGTAGAGATAGAGTTCAGAAAATATTTGCATCCCCATCCCATTTCAAGTGAATGACATCACTTTATCCTTTGTTCCTTCCCTCACCTTCTCTAGCTTAGAGCAGCGAAACTTGACTTTGGAAACAGAGATGATGAGCCTCCACGATGAACTGGATCAAGAAAGGAAAAAGTTCACAATGATAGAAATCAAAATGCGAAACGCCGAGCGAGCAAAAGAAGATGCTGAGAAAAGAAATGACATGCTTCAGAAAGAAATGGAGCAGTTTTTCTCCACGTTTGGGGAGCTGACAGTGGAACCCAGGAGAACCGAGAGAGGAAACACAATATGGATCCAGTGAGCCTGCTTCCTCCTGCTGTCTCCGATGGACGTGGCGGGGGCTCCGGGGTGCTGTTGGGAACATTCTGTGGGATCGGGTGGCCGGTCCCCTGCTGTACAGTGCTCTAACTGGTGAAGGAATATCATGTACAGACATTACCCATCCATATCTGCAATGTGTACCAAAGTTATATCATGCCCCATAATGCTACTGTCAAGTGTTACAACTGGATATGTGTATAGAGAGTAGTTTTTAAAAAGTAAACTAAAAATGGGAAGCATATCTCAAGAATTATTTTATTGCAAGTCTTGTATTTAAAATGTTAAATCAATATGTTGTTGCAATTTAGCTTGCTTTCAAGCTTCACCCCTTGCACTTAACATAAGCTATTTTTGGCATTGTGTTATCATCAGCTTATTTTATAGATCAATATTTTTATTTCCCCTTTTGCTGAGGAAATGAAGATGAGCAGATATATAAATATATATAAATATATATCAGATGAGTTATTAAAGTCAAAAGAATATTTCGTGGCTGTGCTGTTTGTGCCAGTAGACCCCACCATGACCAAAAGAGAAATGTAAATAGTTTTATAAAATACAGTAGACCCACCAGGAACCTTTGATTTGCTCTTTAAATTCCTCCCCCGACACTGCTCAGTTTTCTTAGGGAGGTGTCTTGACACAGAGAATTTTGGATTTTGTGGGAAAAATATAAAAGGCCCCATCTCAAGGCTTATTGTCTGCCTGGTCAGTCCCACAGATGAATGTCTCCTGTGCGGAATGCACTTTAGAGGGAGCAGATGGTAAAAGCATTTAATGAGTCATGCCACGAACTACTCTGACCTTCAGGACTGAGTCTCGGTAACTGCTACATGGTTTCGAGAATAGTTCTTCCCACCATTTGAAGGTTGGGAAACAATGCTCGCAATTCTATGCCACAGGAACCCCTCCTATCTGCTCAGACCTTGCCTCCAACCCCCAGCAAACACACTGCAGTGCAGGCAGTGAGATGGTGTGACCGTGACCCTCTCAGTTGAACGGCTAGCATGCGAGCCGTACGGTGACATGTTTCTGTCACTCAGGCCTACTGTCCTGTTGTCACCCGGGATTCTGTCTGCAGGACTGCTGGGAAAGGCAGGGGATGGAGTGGATAGCCCAGGAGGAGGAGACAAGTTAGGAAGAAGCCAACCATTTTGCTTCTAATTTTTACAATATTGTTCTTCCCAGTTGAAAACATACTTGTTCACAACAATTTTAAGATGTGAACGTTTTGAGGTCCAATTTTGACAAGTTTATGCACATGAGTAATGGTGACTTCCTGTAGGAGCCCAAGGCTCTCTGGAGGTAGAGTTTGGAAAGAACAACTCTTCACGCTCCAGTAAGGCAATGACTTTGAGAAGCCAGGCAAGGAACTATTTCTCACCCTAGAACGAAAAGTCACAAAAGGCATAACTGGAAATAAAGACTGTTTGAGTTTATAGGACTGTGTTGTTAGAAGGTTCTATGTCTGTGTGTGCTTATTTATTTTCAAATGGAACATAGTCTTTAGAGCATCCAGCCTTGTCACCATTCACTTTCGTGTATATCCTTCCACCAAGCAAACTTCTGTGGTCCCTGGGTTTTAACCACTTTCTATAATACTGCTGCCTCTTCACCTTTAGTTTCCTGTTCTCCCACTTTTGGATTCTTTAACTAGATACTTCCACTTGGATATCACATAGAAAAGTTAAACTCAAAATGTACCCTGTTGATCTCAATGGGGCTCTCTTATATACATTTCCATCTCTTCCCAGGCCCTGTCCTAGCGAATGAAAACCCTGGACTCCTCCAAGGAGCTGAAGGATGCAATAGGAAAAATCAGAGGGCATGCAGTTACCCAGCCCACCTTCAGATTTTCCACAAATTGCTCTGACTGAGACTTCTAAGCCTCACTTTTTTGCACTGTAGACTGGGAATAACAACAATACTCCTCTCATGGACTTGTTACGTGGTTTCAGTGAGGGAGATGGTGTGCAAGCTGAGCACAGCACCTGCTGGACAGAGAGGATGCCCTAAGCGTTCTTCCTCATTTTTCTCTCCACTCTTCTCCACTCTTAAATTCACTCACCAAGTACCATCCAGTCCACTCAGCCTTGCCTAATGAGTCTACTCTCTTTGGTCAGTTCCTCCTCGTCTTTGATGAAAGCCTCTCTCCTTTTGCAGGATGCCACTTCTAGGCTGCCCGTCCTACCATACATGGCCTTGCTACCTACTATCATGTAGACTCTCACTTACCCACAGGATGTTCCCCTCCCATGGTGTAGAAGGCTGTGACCTGCATTTTTTTTTTTTTTTTTTTTTTGTAGCTCTTACCACTCCCTCCACCCCCACCATGCCCCTTCGTGCCTCTGGAACTTTCCACCTTCTATTGTCATGTCCATCTTCACTACCTTCCTTCTATCTGGCACAGCCCACCATTTTTTTTTTTTTTTTAAAGAACTAGATCAAATGTTAGTTCCCCTATAAAGCTTCTAGGATCTCAACTCAGAATTAATTACCTTGTGCTCCTAATTTGCGTATATCTCTTTTAGTCTTTTCCATACCTGATTATTTTCTTCACCAATAAGAGACATTTTAGGAAACACCATGGTAGAATGGAAATAGCAGGAAACAGAGAGCCAAGAAGACCTACATATGCATCTCATCAACATGCCTTAGGCAAGATGCACAGCAATGAATTACAAGTCACTTAACCTTTCTGAGCCTCAGTTTTTTCATCAGTAAAGTGGAGGTAATAACCCCTACCAAATAGTGACATTGTGATACTTAAAAGTGGTATGTAATGTGACTATCCCAGTGACTGCCAGTTAGCCCTGTTGATAGCTCTATTAATAAAGGAGCTTCCTTACCTAAGAGAGTAGAATTGTATCTGACTGATCTTAAATTCTTCCATCTCCACCCTTTATTCCATAGAGTGCCAACATGGAGAGTTAGCTGCAAATCCGGTCTTTGATTTATGAGGGATGCTGCTAATTTTAATTATCAATCTCAGCGGTGATGACCTTCAATCGCTGTGTACCATGAGTAGCTTGTCCGCCTGAGTTTCTATTAGTTCTTCCATTAATTCGGCTAAATACCCAGAAAATATCAACTATAAATTGACAGAAAAATAAAATGGAAATAAGTAGGTAGTATCAAGAGTTCATTTGCTACATCCTGTATAAACCTCTTTAAAACTAATAAGCGACTAGAATGATTCTTAAATTATGAGCTCAGGAGAAAGGATTGGCTTCTAAGTGTTGAGTCTATAATGTTGGTTTCACTAGCTGAACCATATAGCTGGGTATCCTTCAGAGAACACTTAAAACAGAATTGTGCATGACAGTAGGCCCACTGACATCTATACTTTTTAAATATTGTTTCTATATGTCATTTTATTATGAAATGACTAAAAATTTGAAGAGAAACTTCAATAATCTCATTCCTATTTATTCACAAGCTAAGCCCTAAATTGAAAAAAAACAAACAAAAATAGGTCATTTCCAGGTAGGATCGTTGAAATCATTGATATAATTGATAATTGATATAATTATCTCTCCTTGGAAATCCAGGAGAATTTAAAGACTGTGACCTTGGCCATAAACCTCAGTATTCCTCTCATTGCAGAATGATTTCTTGCTTAGAGTAACATCACAGAAAATGATAGGCATAAAGCTTTTGAAATCAGAGACCTGCCTGGATTTCAAATCTTAGTTCTATGACTTTGTAGCTATAAGAATTTAAGAAAAGTTACATGATGTTGGTAAACTTCAATTTGTTTTTCTGAAAAGTAGGATTTTTTTTTTTTTTGAGAAATGACTAAGTAAATTGACTCACACAGTATATATTGGTATATTGTAAGTGTTCAATAAATGGTAGCTGTTATCCCTCAAATTCTTTCTACTGAAAGAGTGTTCCAGCTTCTAGAAAATAGAGTCTGGCCTCAAGAATTTGGCTCACCAGCAGAGGATATAATTTTGTCCCAGGGAGACTAAATTTACCTTTGCTTGGATAATCTGCCAGAGATTTGATGGCAAGGAAGAGGTAACCCAAGGCATACTTTCTACCAGAGATCATACAGTTGCCTCCACAATCTGAGAATAATGTCCCAAGGACCACCCGTAACTGTCCTGCATCAACTCTGTGTGGACACTGAAGAATATGTTTGGTTTTAAAGGTGTCAGGTAAGAAACAATGAAAGTCTAAGAATATGACGAATGAATGTGCCTAGACTCACATCTGCATCACCATTAGTGAATATTGCTTGAAGACCGCCACACCAGCCCTAGGTTTGCTGTCTGGGATACCTCATTTCTAAATACCCCATAAGGTAGTGTTCTGTGAAAGGAGTTTGAGATAACAAAAATGAGGCTGGGAAAAGCAATGCAGAGCCATGACCATGATGTGAGTCCTAAAGAATAAGTAGGAAGTTTTCAGAGAGCTTAGCAGTTTGGGGCAGGGGCTTCCCTAGTCCATGGAAAAGCATGTGCCTAAGCACTTTCAGGGCTTAGGGTGATCTTTGGGGTGGTCTGGGGTGATCTTTTAAGACCTGGGGTGGTCTTGGCCATAAAGACTCACTCACACACCACCAGGAGATCTGAAAACACTTAACACCCAGGCGGCTTCCATTCTTTTATTCAAATAAAGCATCCAGAGCCAGACACCTTTCTGCCTTGTTGGAACTCACAAACCACAGAAAAAGAGTGTGGCCTTGTGGCTCCCAAAGGCCTTTTTGTTATTCTCTTTACAGTCTTTTTAATTGCACAGGTGGAGAATGAGTTGACGCCCCGCTTTAAGGGCTCCTTGCTGCAAAGCAATGTGGAAAATGAACAGCTCCCCAAGCAGTGGAAACCTACCAAACCTACTGTAGACCTTTGAGTAGAAAGTCTAGCAGATGTAAACTGTGTTTTTTAATGCACCATTTGGGTCTTGGGGCCAGGACTGAGTATACTTATTTATGGACCACGTGTAGTTGCCACATTTCTGGTCCTGGAGGGCTAAGCCCAGGTGAGACCAGCCCATTTAGGGAAGGTTACCTTTCTCAAGTAGAAAGTACTGAATCATTTGAATAAGGAGTTAAATTGGCCCTCAGCCAATGACCTTCTTAGGTCATTCCCTTACCACCATCACTCCAACAATTTTTAGAAACCCCCTAAGAGTTGACAATTTAACTCCTTATTCAAATGAGCCCCAAATGTTGCATTAAAAAACACATTTGACACCTGACTTTGATAATGGCTATCATCCCCTCATGTCATTGCTTCCCTCCTTGACCAGCTCAGCTTCTATGGTTCCTCATTATAATTATTCTTTTCCTTGTTCTCCAATCCCTTCATATTTTCTTCCACCACCGTACTCATATGGTAAGGAAAAACACCCAGCCCAACTCTGGCTAAATCCAATTCCTTCTTATTCCTAACCTGAACCTGAGAAACTAAATATGGATGGATAGCAAAAGAGCACCATGTTGCGTTGTTCCATCTTCTATCTATATAAATATAGTTCACATGGTTCTCATCATTGTCTAGTATCTTAACTTCTTACTTTTTAAGGTCAGTGTCACACTTCTCAAGCCTCCGTAAGCTCTTCCCCTTCCCATTCTCAGGTAGTAACATCACTTATATAACCCAACTTACTGATAACTAAGAAAACAATACCAAAAGAGTATGTCTTTGTGTTCCATCATCATATCTACCCAACTGTCTACATGCAACCTGTACACACCATCCTACCTCCTGCTACAATGACTGTGTCACCTGCTCCAACCAAGCCAAGTGCTCCTCCCATACACATCCCTCTGGCCTTTTCAAGCACATTACTCCTTCAAATAAATATTCTTTCTCTCTTACATTGTGAATTTTGCTCTTTATATAATAGTCCTATCAACATATACCCATGCTATAATAGCTTTCTTAAAATTCTCTCATGTCATATTCATGTCTTATTTCCACATAATTCTTCTGCTTCACTTTCTAGAATTTTCACTTTCTTGAATTTTCCTTACCTATGTCTAATTCCTCACATGCCATATTCTCCTGAACTCACTAAGTCATGCTTTCTTGCTCAATACTGCAAAGAACATGCTCTAATATGTCAGCAATGACCTTCATAAAAATCAAGTCCAGGGGCGCCTGGGTGGCTCAGTGGGTTAAAGCCTCTGCCTTCAGCTCAGGTCATGATCCCAGGGTCCTGGGATCGAGCCCCACATCGGCCTCTTTGCTTGGCAGGGAGCTTGCTTCCCCTTCTCTCTCTCTGCCTGCCTCTCTACTCTACTTGTGATTTCTGTCTGTCAAATAAACAAATAAAATCTTAAAAAAAAAAATTTAAAAAAAATCAAGTCCAAATGTGAATCTTTAGCCCCATCTTCTTCAGCCACTCAGTAGTATTGTCCTAGGTGCCCAGTCCCTCATTTCTTAAACATCTTTACTTGGCTTCCGGGATAGCACACTTTCCTGATTTT